CCTAGCCTTGAGCTGGACCAGCTTATCGGCTGGGAACAGAGCTGAAAAACCCCAGCCTGGAATATTTTTCAGGCTGTAATTTTCTTACTTTCTCAATATGTGTCCCACAGTAAACCAAGAAGTTTCTGGCTACATCTTGCACACACAGATGTGCCAGGAGGAAAAAGGTTGCTTAGACCTTGCCAGTTATGTTCGAAAACATGGATGGGCCAACCCAGCTGCACTGGGATCACAGATCACTGCACTTCCAACTGCCAGCTCAAACATCATCACACTCCTATTGAATGCTTATCACTGCTTGCTGCGAATGACAGGAGAATTGGGTGGGGAGTAGCAACAAATTAACATTTCCTGAATTACCGAAAGAAAATGTAATCAATTGTCACACAAACATTTATTGCTACTTCTACACAAGTAAGTAATTTCATTAAATATCTCACTTATCGTGCCCACAAAGACATTTCCTTTAAAGGAAGAGGAGAGTGCTTCAAACCATGCCATAGATGAGTCCTCATTTAAGCAGGGCTTCTACAGTCTCCTTTCTGTAAACCATGACAAATTCACGTGATTAAGACCTTTTTTCAAACCTGACTTTCCTAGCAGTTCACTTGTGCCCTGTGAGTGCCACCTTAAAAAGCTTTTGAAGAGATTGTTTTGTCTGCAGTGACTTTGTGCCTGTAATCAGAAAGTATTTTTAATTGTTCTTTTAACAACTGTGGCCCTTAAAGTGGATTTACCTGAGGACAACAGAAGCTCAGACATGCGGGTGTGTGCAGGCTGCTTCCCCTGGAGAAATCAGAGCAAACGCAGAGCTCACATCTGGGATTTGAGGGGTCTCAGCTGGCTGGAAGCCGGTGACTGTTGTCCCGATTGTCAAGAAGAGCAAGAAAGAGGATCCCAGACACTACAGGCCTGTCAGTATCACTCCAATACCCAATAAAATCACAGAAAAGTTTATTCTGGGAAGTATTGAAAAACACCTGGAGGACCATACAGGCATCAGTCAGAGGCACCATGGCTTCATGAGGGGAACGTCCTGCTTCCTGATTTCCTTTTACTACAGGGTAAGATCAACTTGGTTGATGCAGGAAAGCCAGCAGATGGAATCTTTCTGGGTTTCAGCAAAGCTTTTGGTACTGTGTCTCTCAGAATGCTTCTGGACAAAGTGTCCAGCACACAGCTGGATAAACACATTGTGGGATGGGTGAGCAACTGGCTCAGGGGTCAGGCACCGAGGGTGGCAGTGACTGGGGTGACACCACTCTGGCAGTGGTCACCAGTGGGTTCTGCAGGGCTCCACTGTCAGCCCCGGCTCTTCAACATCTTCCTTAAGGACCTGAACACAGGACTTGAAGGGATAATCAGTAAATTTACTGATGACACTAAACTGGGAGGAGCTGTCGCCTGCCTGGAGGGCAGAGAGGCTCTGCAGAGAGACCTCACAACCGGAGATGGGCAATCACCAACTGTGTGCAGTTTAACAAGGGCAGAATCTGCCCCGGGATGGGGCACCCCTGCCTTGGTGTATGGACTGGGAAGGAGAGGCTGGAGAGCAACTGTCAGAGGGACCTGGGGGTCCTGGCCAAGGGCAAGTTGAACATGAGTCAGCAGTGCCCTGGCAGTCCAAAGTGCCACCGTGTCCTGGGGCAGCAGGCCCAGCATCAGCATCAGCTGGGCCAGGGAGGGGATTGTCACGCTCTGCTCTGCACTGGGGTGGCCTCACCTTGAGTGACAGCACAACACAGAAAAGACATAAAGCCATGGCAGAGTGTCCAGAGGAGGTCACAAGGACGGAGAAGGGTCTGGAGGGGCTCTGTGAGGAACAGCTGAGGACACCTGGTTTGTTCAGCTGGAGAAGAGGAAACTCAGGTCAGACCTCACTGAGCTCTTCAACATCTTCCCGAGGGGCAGTGCAGGGGCCAGTACCAATCTTTTCACTCTCATGAGCAGGGTCAGGACTCGAGGGAATGGCTGGAGCTGAGTCAAGGAAGAGTTAGGTTGTGTATCAGGAAAAGTTTTTCACCTAGAGGGGGCTTGAGCACTGGAACAGGGTTCCCAGGGAAGTGGTCCCAGCCCCAAGTCTGTCTTGGGACAAGAAGCATTTGGACAGTGCTCTCAGGGCCATGGTGGAATTGTTGTGGTGTCTTGTGCAGGGACAGGGGTTGGACTCAATGATCCTGATGGGTCCTTTCCAACTCAGCACTTCCAACTCATCTGAGCGCCTCTGAAATTACTTCAGCATCCAGCACTCAGCTTTCACTCCAGAATAAAGCTGTTCCAGCCTGGTGAACTCAGACATTCCACTCCTCCTAAGCACAGCACCTACAATATTCCTCGACTTCTTTGGATGAATGAAAGAAATAAACTGCCTTTAAGAGTCACGGTAACAATTCCACGCCCTTACTTACTGGCTGCTTGTAAGGGAGGCCATTTACAGGGCAGCTCGGCAGGGGCCGTGGTGTGCCCCGGCCATGGGAGGGGACAGAACAGGGTGTGGGTGCCCCCGTGTGCCTGTCACCCATGAGGAGTGTGGCAGTGATGGGGGACATGTGGCCTGGCCATGCCACCAGGGCTGCCAGGATGGGGGACAGGTGGCCATGAAGGTGCCACCACAGGTGTAGTGACACCAGAGGACACATGGCCATGGAGGTGCTACAAGGGGTGTGGTGACACAAGGGCACAGGAGACCATGGAGATGCCACCTTGGGTATGATGACACTGAGGGATGCGTGGCCTTAGAGGTGCCACCACAGTGCCAGGATACTCATGGAGATGCCACCAGAGGACAGGTGGCCATGCGGTGGCAATGCCAGTGGCCATGGCAGTGTGACAGTGACAGGCCAGGTGTGGGGCCAGGCCAGGGTGGCTCTGCACCTGCCCCGTGGGTGGCCCTGTAGGAGCCGAGCTGGTTTGACTGGGTCCTGGTGCCGGTGCCCAGTGCCACTGTCAGTGCCAGCCTCGGCACGGGGACACATGGGGACAGGGACACGTGGGGCAGGAACAACCACAGGGGGGATAGGGCACCCCAGGGGGCTGTGCCAAACCAGCACTTCCCACCCCACACCCCAAAATTCATCACCTCCCACCCATCATAATCACCCCAAAAGTCATCACCCCCCAAACCATCCCCATCACCTCCCACCCGTCATAATCACCCCAAAAATCATCACCCCCCCCACGCCTCACCTCCACTCTCCCACCCCTGTACCGCCCTCACCTGCCCCATCCTGCACGCTCAGCTCTGCCCTGCCTGCCGCTGTTCCCTCCTCCTGCCCACGGAGCGCAGGTACCGCTGCACGGGTGGCCTCGTCCCCTTGTGTCCCCTCCCCTCGGGTCCCAGCGACTCCTTGGGAGCCTTGGAGGGGGCAGAAAACGCCCTCCGGAACAGCGACCGGGGCGCGCTGGCCTTGGGGACACCCCTGTCGCCAGCCCTGTCGCCGTCGGTGTCGGGGTGGCTGTAGGAGCGTTTCCAGCCCTGCGGCCGCGCCCAGTGCCGGCTCCCCGGGGACACCCCGCCCCTTTCGGGGTCCCCCCCGAGGGTGGCGGCCGTCGCGGTGAGCCACTTGTAGTTCTTCAGTAGGGCAGGGGGCTCGGGGGTGGCCGGGGGAGCTTCCACCTCCATCTGTGGTGGGGAAGAGTAGAGTTTGATGGGTTCAGGGGGTGGATTTGGGGGTGGTGGGACGTGGGGAGGCATTTTGTGGGTTGGATTTTGGAGTGATGGG